GAGAGACTTCCATTCTTCCACCAAGAGAAGTGAATAAAAACATCATATTGAAGGATCGAATATTTTTTAAGAAATATTTGCTTCGTGCATCCTTCTTATAGAATAAATCGCTCAAAGGCTGTGATGGAGGCATGAGATGAGGGATACTTATTTTTCCTTGCATGCAGCATAATGAAAACTTTGGATTTTTTGATTTGTTTCGTTTCTTCACCCTCTCAGAATACCACATTAATGCATTGCAGAATCCACACTCCCATGTCGGGTCCCCATTATCAAAATATCCTAATTCATAATAAATCAACAATTTAATGGTTAACGTAATAATGAATAAGTGGCCTCAATGTAGTGTTGCTACTATCATTTTCTGCGAAGTGCATGTACATTCATAATAGTAGAAGTAATAATAATATCATAGAACCAACAAAGGTAAAGTACTAATAATATTCACACACACACACACACACACACACACACACACACACACACACACATATATATATATATATATATATAGTATAATATTTATGGTATAAATAGAAGATATGACAATAAGTGAATGATAATATTACAAATAAGCATTTTCTATATTCCACTAAATGCATTATTAGGGGAAACATACCTTTAGTAGTATTAGGGACAGGAACTTTTTGCATATGCAAATTTTCATTGCCGTGCTGATAATTTTCTTGTGGCACGCTTCTTAAAATGTGTTTTCCCGTTCCAAGTTTCTTCACTCCAGAATAAGTGTTGACCATTATAGACGAAGCTTGCCTCTCATCTTGACTTAACCATCCTCGAATAGAACTTCGTCTTTGTTCTATATAATTTAATTTTAAAAAATTAGGAACAATAGCAGGGTAAAGTATTCAAAATGCTGCTGATTTGATTGAAATGTGATGTCATATTAGATAGTAAAGTATCTAACACAAAGTTCAAAGATAAGTACATGCATCTAAATTTAGGCTCCATAAATAGTTATCATAAATAACATACCATTAGTTACATCCGCAAGTTCACATCGGTGAAATTCTCCACCGATGTGATTAGAACTGCTTTGTGTCGTACCATTTAAGTAAATTTTTCCAGAGCCAAGCTTTCTTATCTTTGTGGTACTATCTTCCGTGTGAGCGAAAATATGTTTTTCATTCTCATTTGTCAAACTTCGTTTTGGAGCATGAATTTTTTCCTTGTCTGCAACACGAAATAAAGTGCAAGGACCAACATATTAGTTAATTTATAAAAAAATATCAAATACACATGTATTTATATTGCTTTGATGGATATAATTCAATCATGTGTTAAAAAACCAATGCCAATAAGATATTGTATCCAAATCATCCAAAAAATGTAGAACATTCATCCATTAATGTAATTAATATCATGGGTTGGATTTAGCTCAAACGATTCTTAGCCTACCCAAAGTTTTTGTTTGTGCAATCCTTAGATATTATTATTCTTTTTTTTTGCTTATTCATTTTCTATATTTGTTGTTTGTTTCGCCATAGTGTTGGTTTCATGCAGTCCTTAGATATTGCGGAGTATTATTTTTTTGGTTTACTTTTTCAATTTTCTATTTTTGTTCTTTTAAACAATTCGCTGAGCTAAATAGTTTTTAAAACTTATTATTTCTACTTAGGCTACCCACGCTTTTGCTAACTTTCAAAGATCAAGAACAAAATATTACAAATTTTCAATATTTTTTGTAAATGATATAAATTTAAAATTAAGGTTTTAAGAAACAATAAGTTTTTTTACATTTCAATCAGATGTACCTTAAACACCCTATTGATAACACAAAATTATCTAAATGACGGGCATTGGTGAAATTTTCATTGAAACGACTAAACTAGCAAAGTCTGTCGAATTATAAAAAATATTTAAAATATTTTATTAAAAAAACAAAAAAAAAATACATGGAAGCATATCTAAAATAGTGATGTTTAGCAAATTATATAAAAATGTAACTCATATCTTATCAAATGAGACAAAAAAGTAACATCAACATTACCTATTTTACTTTTACAGTTTTACTACGGAGTAGTAATTAACAACGTTAACTTGAAAGCTATGTATTTGGTGTGTAGAAATTGACTGATAATTTTGATATTCTGGAAAAAGAGTTTACCGATCATAAGTACATTTTAAATGTATTATCTTTAATTATATTAGTTTATCTTCTAAAAGATATGTAAAGTTACAAAAAGATTAAGAAGCCGTTTGGTAACATTGTTTTTCGGTTTATCAGTCAACTTGTTCACCAAACACGTAATTTTTGTTTTCGCGTGCTGAGTTGTGTAATAATAAGAAAAGTAAGGTTGGTGTTACTTTTGTTGTTGTATTGGCTGAAGTTACTATAGATGATGATTTTAGCTATTTTACATATAATTTTTTCCTTATTTTATTAATAAAATATATTTTAAAAATATTTTTTCTTAAATCAGCAGAATCAGATAATGCAACCACTTCAACCAAAACTTCATAAATTTCAGCAGAATAAATCGAATTAACCAATTTCATGCTATCAAACGGGCTCTAAAACAAAGAAGGTGTTAACGATCTAATACTCCGGATTATAGTATATTATTAATATATACGGGGTTGCTTCGTGCACCCCCATAATTGCTTAACGTAACCATGAGTGGACAAATTTAGCCTTCTTAATTATTACATAAAATTTAATAGAATTAATATGTTAATTACGGTTGCTTGGCGCACCTCCATAGCTCCCGCTCGCTCCTCTCTTGTTGTCCATATCAAATTTACATTAAATATAAATCCAATAAAATGTTGTCATGTGGCAAGTAATTACTTTTTTTATATAATGTCATAACTTTTTCATTTTTGCTCCAATTTTTATAAAAATTATACCAAATTAAATATCTTTTTATGATCTTTCATATGACACCAATATCATATATGTAATTTTAAAAAAATCTGGTCAAGTCAGATCTGATTCGATTTCCTTGAATCTATCTGGTTCGAAATCAGTTCAATTAAAAACATTCTAAATACCATTCACATCATAACTCTAGTCATGTAACATATATGACCGTAATGTGGAATCAGCATGGTGCTGATGGAGTTTTAAAAGGTGAGGCCCTCCACGTTTGAAATTAGTCAAACAAATAAAAAATGAAGATAATTAGTTTACTAGAGTTAAAAATGTTACTTGTTCAATTATATAATCTAATATAGATTTCCAAAAAATCTAATACGAAGTATAGAATTGCGCAAAGTTAAAAAACATTTATGTTTTTATAATACTAGTATAGCACCCGTGCGATGCACGGTGTAGGAGTTTGTTGCATGAGTATCATTATCGTTAGACATTAAACTCTAATTGGAAATAAAGTTAAATATCATAAATTGTGACGATAAAGAAATGAAATTGTAATATGTAAGTTAATTGTAATATGTAATGTGATTATAATACAATATGAAATATTAGAGATTATGAAACACTTCTTTATAGACAACATTCATGGTTTCATCTATTTGACAATCATCTTCATTTTGGATGAGGATTTTGAGACCTGCACGGTTGGTAACTCTTGACACAGCAACATACAATTGTCCATGGCTGAAAACTGTCTTTTTCAATAAGAGACCGACGTGAGTGAGGGACTGACCTTGACTTTTATTAATGGTCATTGCATAAGAAACCATAATAGGGAATTGCCTCCTTTGAAATCTAAATGGCAGCCTAACATCTGACGGTGTCAAAGATAATCGCGGTATTAAGACTTTTTTACCTTCACTCATACCATTGAGGACCCTTCCCTCTAAGATGTGATCACACGTCTTTGTTATGATGAGTCTTGTCCCATTACACTAACCCAATGAGTGATCAACATTACGCAAAATCATGACTCTCAATTTCAAAGTTAACTCATGACTCTCAAGAATTCTGTAGTGTGCAACTCTGCTATAAGATCATGTGTTGAATCAGATTTGCAAACACAACCCCATGATGTAAAGTACATAGAGATTACAAAAAATGATTTTTCATAATGACATCTCAAAAGCTACTTTTCCAAATCTAACCAAATTGTAAAGGGGATAACTTGCTGTGTACCATTTTAAAATATACTTCTTCTTTTAAGTTTGAAACATATATTTGAAATATACTATGTATATACAAAATGCTCAGAAATAAGTATATTTGAAAATAAAATATTATTATTAATATATTGAAAGTATGTATCTTTTAAGTTATTGTTATTTTATATATTAATAATCATATATTATTGATATTAATCTTTATACAATTATTAATAAACCTAAAGTAATGTATTACTATTGTTAAATATTAATAATAATTAGGTTCATTAATATTGTTTACTATTAATAGTGTTTATTTGTTAATAGTTAAATACTAATAACAATAATTTAATATTAATAAATAATATTAATATTTAAAAAAACATTAAAAAACAATTCTTTTTACTATACTAATAAGGCCAATTATGAAGCATATATGAAGTTATAAAGCATGTCCTTCATAAAGCCTTGTTAAACACTAATAATAATAATTAAGTAATACTCCGTACTAATTATTATTAATATTTGAAAATATTATTATATATTATTATTATTATTTATTAATTTATTAATTATAACGATCAAAGGCCAATTATGAAACATCTTTGAAGTCATAAACGCCTCTCCTTCATAAGGGCTTGTTATTTTTCATAATAAATTTTCGAAAGACGAAATTAGTTATAATGCCAATTATGAAGCATATTTGAAGTTATAGAGCATGTTCTTCATAAGGCATTGTGAAATGTCTAATGCTTTGTTGGCAGCTCTGTCATAACTATTCATTTTCAATTTTGAATGCTTCTATTTAATCCGGTTTGTCTCTATGCTCTGTTTCATACATGTACTTTGTTTCATACATGTACTCACCAATTTTTTTAACATGTTTAGTGTACTTAGTCCAACTTTTTTTAAAATACCTACTGGTTTAGTTAAGCTGTAAATATAAGTTAGGAAAACAATTTCTAGAACATGGAAATAGAACTTAATTTAAATATCATTACATACAGAGTAGGTTACATTACACTTGACAACAAATGCCAAAACTTACAAACTTAGGATCAAAATAGATTATCTTAAAAAATAACCCACACCAAAAGTTTGTAACATAACCTAATCTTATCCCTAAGTTGTTCCAGACAACAAACATGTTTCTGAAGTGCTAATGCACCAACAAAAACACATAGGAAAATGTTGCGTACATGGTATGCTTCATTCAGGCAAAAAAATCTTCACATTTTAAACATTGCTACTCTTTTTCCGATTTCACTTTCTTAAGGTTCTTTGGTGGCTGGACAGGAGGGGGCTCAACAAACAGCTTCCTCTTGATGGCCTCGTAGTTCACCACAACTGCCTTCCTTTTTTGTTTTGATAGTAGGGGACTGATATCTTCCTCATTAAGTATGATGACCTAAAATGAGTGTAGAATTTAAATATCTCATTTTAAACACAAACATAAACTATATAGGTAAAATAATAAGTACACATACTTCCTCCGACTCAGAAAACTCCCTCCTCAATAGTGTGAGATCATCTTCTTCCCCAACCACTTTTCCTTTATTCTTGTATAAAGCAAGAACAGTTGGATCACAATTCATTCCAATTACACTAAATGTAGGAACACCCCTGTAGTTTTTGCTTTTCTTCTTTGTTTGCACACGAAACAACCCCTTAGTCTCAACCATAGCATCAATCTCGATTGGAAAGTAGTAGGGTCCAACACTTATCTGTAAATCCCACCAATCTTAAACTTATTAATATTTACAAGTCCATTATATATATGTAAGCATTAAAAAATTAATGTTTCTTCTAGAAAACCTTTTCAATCTCCTCATGAAGAGTACTTGCAGTTTTTCCAACCAAAGCAATGCATTCTTTGTCCCAAAATACAAAAGAAGCATGTCCTGTCTCATCCATCACCCTAACATTAATTTTGTACCTAAAATGTTAAAAAATATCAGTGAATACTATGTGACTATTAGTTTACCAAAACTAAAAAAGGAGATGTTCTCATCTTAAAACTACTTCTTTTGTGTTGCACATACCACAGGTGACACCTTTCTGCTGCACCCTTTGCAAGATATGTAGTACCAATCTTTGTAACTGTCTATTGTCAATATCTCTCCATAAACCCATTGTTTTCCATCCTATTATTATAAGTATACAGTAACTGGTAATCAGCATATAATAAATCAAATAAGTTAAAGAATTTTTTTAATACAAAGTCTGTGATAATAACAACCTCTTCCATTTTGGTTAGATCTTCAATTGAAACCAATTGAACTTTTCCAGCAGTTAGGTCATCTTGAAAAGTAGGGGTAACAAAAGTAGCTAAGGATAGAGCCTCCCCATCCTCATCATTATCTGGACCAAACCTGTGTTATTTAATTAAAGCGTAGATTAATATCAAAATTACGTTATGTGATTACACTGATAACCTTTAAAACAATTTTCTTACGTGGCATTGAAAGCTGCGCACTCGGCGTTGTTGCTATTAAGTAAGATCTTGGTCACATGGAACATGTTAGTTACCCCAACCCGACCTAAAGAGATTACACTGTTAAGAACAAACCAACAGAGTAATGTATTTCAGTTTACAACATACCATGGAACTTTTTAGCACGACAGTGTTGAAGAATAAGAGTGATAGACTTTGGTTTTGTTTTCAGAAAATCCACAAACTCTTCTACCATGTTCTCCCACAGAGTGCAAATGATTGTATTTCCGCTACAAATATAATAAGAATGTCAAAACAGAAAACTACAGAAAACTGTTTTTTGTAAATCAAAATACGTACTTGGCATCACCAAGAGTTAGATCAAGCAACTTCGTTTGTCTACCATTCTTTGTTAGGGCCTTTGGGTTTGACATGGAAGTTACCTTACCGATCACATCTATAAGAGATTATAAATTAATGAATAAGTTTAGTTAAAAATTCAATAAAAGAAAATGTATTTTCATTAAAAATCACTTATGGCATAGGTTTCGTCAATAACTTCAGCATCTTGTAAGGCAGCAATGGATATGAAGTCAAGGATTCTCATTGGAAAATTAATGTCTGAGATTCGAAAAGCATCAGTTCCTTTGATGAATAACAACTTCAAAGCATTCCTTGTTGTCTTGAACTTCATATAGTTATCTAGCACCAAGACTTGTCTTATGGCATAAACATTTCCTTTCTTAAACAGGTCCTCAAACTTTGCAACCTCTGATTTTGCAATGTGTGCATGTATTTTTGTTCCTTGTGTAAAGAGTTGTTAGTTCTTATAGTAAACTACTTGAAGTATTAGAAACCAATCTAGAAACTCAAGTAAATACCTCAGCGTCATGGAAAATGCATTGCAATGATTCTCCGAAATTGCCATGGGCAGGTACAGTATAGACACGAACAACTCGGGCTTTGAATACCCAAGTAGTTTTTGATTGGTGGAACTCGTTTATCAAGGACCACAAGCCCATGGTTTGTGTATTGGAGTGTAGTTAGATGTGAAATGAAGGATTGAATGGTGGAATATGAGTGCAAGTGAGTCTATTTATAGAGTACCTTTGTTGCATTGTGTATTGACATTATACATGTATATATTTGTGTGTTTTTTTTTCTGTAAAAGTTGGCCACAGTGAGCTGTCAAACACTCTTCATTGTAGGACTAATAATATCTAGAAAATAGGTTATGTCTAGGAATGTGTGCTGTAAAATGTAGTATGTGTTTTATAATTTTATTTTATATTTATATGGAGTACTGATAGTGCTTTCTTGAGATTGTGAAAGAGATTGTTAGGATTTTGCATTTATCTATCTTAGCTTACCAATCCAGGACTTTATTTTATATTTATATGTGAAAGAGATTGTATAAATATTCATTCTAAATATGGAGTAATAGATGCTTTCTTGATCTCATAGGCTCAAAATTGTCATGATTCCTCAAGTTATGGAAAGCTGCCCAAAAGGTATCAATAGCCAATTTCAATGGAAAGTAGAAGATGCCATTACTATCACAAAATAGTAGAGTTTGTGACATCAAATCGGATTGTTCACATATTTTGTAAACCATTAATGTTATGTAATTTTCCAGGAGGGACATTTTTGAAATTTTCATTGAATTGTCAATAAGAGCATGTAATATCAAATCAGACTGTTCACATTTCTGTAAACTATTAAAGTCATGGACTTTCTTATTACCAGTTTTACATCAAGAACATAAACACTATTTTATAATCTTTATGCTTTTATGTAATGATGATGATAAAACATTGCATTTCAACATCCATCATCAATTCCTGTGCATTTTTTAATTGCAGCAGGGCTAGTTTAGTAGTTTCTATTCATGCACTATCTTACCTTAAGACTTTGGGAGGGAACACTATTCAAAGAATAGTGCCAAAAACATTTTGCTTTTATATAATGATAGATATAAGGTTTATATCAATCATCCAATACAATTGTAACGGGATCTCTTATAAAATTACGGCGTTCTGTAAACTGTTTAATTCGATGAAGAAGTGGAGTATCCCATCCCGTAACACTAGCGTCGTGATAGTAAGACCATGTCGTAATCACTGGTGGCAACTGAGCATTGTTGTTAAGCCAAATCTGTGCATCAACACAAGTTGTCATTTTATGCATATCATATGGTAATGTGAAAATAAAAAAAGGTAATGTGAAAACAAAATGGAACTATAAAATATTGTTTGCTTACAGCTATGTAGTGTTGTTGGGAATGAAGCCGAGCAATGCAAAAAATTGTCTCTGGAGGACTACTACCAGGAGGAGCGATCATGGGCAAACAAGTTACTGGTTCGTGGAGGTCAAGATGCACTAAAATAACCTGATATAACGTTGCAAAGATCAACCATGTGTGCGGCATATGTATCCAATGTCGGGGTGGTGTTGGACTAATGTAGTAGTCTATTTGTTTCCGCAAGTCATCAATAGTGCCAAGAAGGCATATAGGATCATACAGCCCACGATGATGATCTAGTTCTTCCGCTAACTCCCTTTGAACTCTAACCCATTCTATTTCTCCCCATCCTAAAAGCTCTGCAAATGAGCGATATCCGCAATGTCCATCTCCAATAACGTCCACAACTTTACTAATATGCTCAAGCATGAATGTCTCAACATCATTACCAAAATTAAATTGAATTCGATTTTGATTCCCTTTGATATCCTTGCCACGTCCACGAGACCCATGATGTGATATTGTACCCTTGGATTTTTTTATATTTTTTCTCAGTGTACTCCCACGCGCTTAGGTCTCAAGTGGTTGATTTTTTTTGGGTCCTCCCTTCGTTTCATGAATCGGTGGCTCTTTCAATTCATAGCATTAAGTTCTGGATTTCTCATCTCATTCCATTTTGCATGAAGTCTTTTTTTTCTTGTGCTGATATACGACATGATTGAAACTCATCAACTATGGTTTTTAGGACCACATCATCAACACTTATATCATCAGCCTCGTCATTGTCATGTTCTCGACGCTTTCTTTCCTTTGTCTTGTTACACCCCTTGTGCTTTGACATTTTTTGCAGCTCGATACTTTCCGATTTTTTCACACGCAAGAAGTACATTACCAAGTTTTTGGGAATTACTTGGCCTCGATTTTGCAATAGTTAATATCATGTTTCTCTTTTGGGCCTCTACTCTAGCCCAACTAATCATAGACTCATGATCCGTCCAAGTTTTATTAGTTTGAAAGTCTTCCGAAAATTTATGTGAAGTGAATGGTTGTGCTTCTTCAACAGGTTCAAAATTTAATTTTTCTTCGACACGAGTCAAGCTGTCATCGTGAAAAATAAGGCCGACGTACACGTCACTATCATCATGCATGTATCATACGAGTAATTGATAAACGCAAATAATATGAGATAATGTACTACAAACAAACTGCATTTGCATTTAAACTTTTACATTGGGTAATTAGGGCGATCAGTCATCCACAGTTAAGACCGGCTAGGCTAACTAGGCCAATTAATCGATCTGACTAGGTCAATTTTAGAACAATGTTTATACCTAAGACTTGTTATTTCAAAATTGTTAAAATTAAACTTACCAAATTCAACAAAGATAATAATTCATTAAATTCATGTAAGAAAATTACAAAATATTACAAATATACTCCGTCGTAAATGTCTTGTTCATTAAAACTTTGCAACACAAACTTATAAAGTTTGCAAAATTAATAACTCATTAAATTTACACCTAAAAATGTATTAAAAAATTACACTTCTTATATTTTACATTTGGAATACATGTGCACGCCTTAAGTTTATAACTATTTTTTACTAGTCACAAGTACAATAGAAAAGTATAAAAATAAGAACTAATTGAAAGATAGACGAACTATCAATTCGGGACCTGAAAGATGAAATGTATCGGTATAGGACCCGAATGATGGAAAACTATCAATCTAGGACCTGAATGATGGAAAACTATCAATTTAGGACCTAAGTTTTCATAAACTTTATTATTATTTTTATTTTAAAAAATTTAAATAATATTTAGTTTTATTAAACTAATAAACTTTTGTGAAGAAAATTTCACCAAATATTATCAATGGAATTAATAAAAAATTAGATAAATCAAAACCTATGAAATGTTAGGTCTTAGATTGATAGTTTTTCATCTTTCGAGTCCTATACTGATACATTTCATCTTTCAGGTCTCAGATTGATAATTCGTTTATCTTTCAGATTCCAGATTGATAAAATTCCTAACAAAAATAAAAGTAGGAGGAAGCGGTCCAGCTCAGCTGATCAATGACTCACGTCACTATCTTATAATAGCATTCAAATGTTACATTATAGTGACTATAAAACTTACACATATTAATTTATACTCACTTTTTGTCCATAGATTTTTTTAGTAATATTTTAGGAAAAACTTTTAAAATAATAATCAAAATATAAGACTAAAACGAGTTGATCGAAGTGAAAATGTTCATTACAATACAATACAAATTTAAACATGATCAAAATTACTTTATTTGTATTTAATATTTAAAAACTTTAGACAAAGAAAGATATTCATAGTATTAAATTAACATTAGGAAAAAATTAATATTTAACTTTAGGAAAGAAACAAATTTGAAAACCATTAGAATTAGTGTACTACGTCAGTTGCTAGTTGAGTTTCCTTGACCAAGATTGCAAGTGGACAAATCTATATTATATATAAAAACTCAATAGTCTGTAGGGAATTGGGCGGGAAGTATTGTATAAGGAAGCAGCTGACCAGATGTTTTAATAACTTGAAAAAAAGCTACGTAAAATCTTGGTAAGTTAAAACAATAAAGCAAGACAAAGCATTGAATGTAGACGTTGTAATTGGATGATGATAGGCAGTCCAATAAATCACAATTACAATAATTGTCTTGAATTTGTCGATAACTTGAAAATAGCTTCGTAAAATATGTATAAGCAAACTTGAGACATTAATTGCACACTAAGTAGACTTCATTCACCCAAATATTTACATTTAGTGATAGAAATGCTTTCACTAGACACTCTTTTTTTTACGCTTGAAAGCCCGGTGGATAGCATCTGTTCTTAGTTTCACAGTGTTTTTTATCAAATGCTTAATTTTTGACTTTACACACTAAATTCTATAATGATTAAAATAATTAAGATCCGAGTAACTTTTTTAACTGAATTGATTGAAGTTAAAGTAAAAGACTATTTTACCTATTATGAAAAAAGTTATAGTTAAAATATAATTATTAAGAAAAAAAATGTGAAAAAATGACTAAAATAGATAATTAGGAAAACAATATAACTTTTTTTTGTATTTTTTCTCATGCAATTCTCCGTGCATAATTATAAGTTACATGTTCGGTGAAAAATAATTAGACAAAGGGAAAAAGTGGGTCATCAAATGAGCTTATAAATACATGAAAAAAGTATTATGATATCTTTAAAAATTATAGGGTAACTATATATACAAAAGATAAGTTCAATATCTATATTTTATGTGTATTATAAAACGCAAAACAGGAACGGTTTTGGGCGGGAACTGCTATACCCTTAGTGTGCGCCGCCTTCTAGATTATTATTTTAATTGACTAAATACATTAATTATGTTGGCTGAATCTGTGTGTAACACTTGGCCTCGCAAAAGTCTTTTTGACTTCCGCATCTCTTTACCTATTTCCAATGCGTATATGACTTATAGTTTGCTGATAAATGTAGAAGTGGGTGGTGATAAAATACAACAACAGTGACACATCACTAATTGTATTTTAACTACTAGGTTTCTATTTTCCAATTTCCAATGCCTATTTTCTGAAACAAGAACGGTGGTCGATTGAGGATTTGGCAAAAAAGCATTATTGAAGAATCTTTATCACTAGAAATTATTATAGTGTGTTATTATAGTGTATAATCAGTGGGCTGGTTTAATAATTTTTAGTTTGTAATTATATATGGAGTATATTTTAAGTAAAGTTGAATATTTTTTATCAATTAGCATTCATGATATACAAATAAATGAATAATCACTCAAAAGGTTTAAGTAGATCTTTATTTTTGTAAATGAGTATTTTTAATATTCTTTAACTAAACTTAACAAGTATTTTGATATCTTATATTTCTTGTATTACTACATGTCAATATAAATACATAGTATATACTATTACCAATATAAATATGTACTATTGGGTAATTGCTTTTAGATAATTTTGTTATGTATGTTTTTATAGATTGGTTCGCGGGTTGGCGCGTTTACCCCGCAAGCTAGGTGGGTTGGGCTAGGGTTGTAGAAATTCTGACTCGTCATTAAACGAGTTGGCCCGTCACGTAAAGCATAACCTGTCACGTGTCGGGTTGCACCGGTCCGGGTTGGCAAGTTTGACAACTCTAAATCCCCACTAAATGTTTATACTTTTTTAATGTGTATGTTTTTTTGTAATAAAAATTATATATGAAGTACGTATTTAGCGTTCTGTAATCTGTATGACAATTTGTATATGTTTCTTTTTATTATACTCTGTATTCAAATACGGAGTATTATTATTTATTGTCATGCATCATAAATAATAATATAAAAATATTATCCCGTGCATCGCACGGGTACAATACTAGTTGGTCTAATAGCAAAAAAATAGAGGCGCACCTAGCAATTGGATGGTGCACTTCTTAAGTTTCATGAGCTACTACAAGTCTACAAGAGGACAATTCAATCCAGTAATGGGATAAAAGGGTTGCGCCTAGCATTTTTGAAGGTGCGCCAAGGATGCCCGATATATAATAAGAATTTTATACTCGTCGTTAATTAACTTTACACTTTCATTTTCGGGCCGTCCCATATTAAACTTACACTTTCCTATTTACCTTATTTGGCAAACAAATCTACATCAAACAGTACAAAATAGTGCTAAACAGTATCAAACAATGTATTCTACAGTAAAGCCAAATTTATTTTCTTAATATGTGTGAAGTCAAAGTGTAAAGTTTAATAAGGACCGGAAGGAATATGAAAAAGCCTAATAATTCAGTGAACAAAAAATGAAAAGAAAAAAGAGCAAAGAGTTGCATCCAATCTCTATGCTCTCCTTCTCCAAACACTCTCTCTCGATTCTCAAACACAGAAAAGGTCCCTACGTATTCCCCCTTCCCTTCCCCAATCTCGATTCTCTCTTCTCCGAACACTCTCTCTGGATTCTCGAACACATAAGGTTGCATCGCATGATTGATTCAAGATTTCATGATTCATATTTCCAGGTTTTATATCTTTGTCGTCCTATGTGTATATTACAAAATAAGTCCAGTTCTATTTCCTTCATACTATTTTTCTAATTGCTAGATCTATCTACTTTTCCATTTCTACTTTTTATTCTTGCCGGTTAAGCCTTTTTACTTTCAACTATCTCAACCTCAAGCATCTTCTCTCAAGCATCTTCTCTAGAGAAATAAAAAACTAATTTTTATTGTGTAATTAATTTATTGGGTAAAGAATCAATAATAGCATGACTTACCACACATGCAGTCCCTCTCTGTGTGTGCCTTCTGCTCAACGCTTAATGATTGACACTGAACTGCAAGGGAGAAGCATGCCAAAGCTCTATTTCCGTTATCGAGAATGAATTGGCTCCAGAGCTTTTTTTAGTATTGCAATTTTTCAACAAATAAGTCTTCGTATTATTTCTCTAATATGTAAATATGGTAATGATGCCTGTCTTCGTATTTAACAGCAAGATTCTTGCTGTTAAATGAATATTATTCACTTACATGGCAATTTAAAATATCCTTTTATTTAGATAGATGTAAAAGAAATATGACACAATTAATTATATGGATATTGCTTATTGTAATTAATCAAAGCTGGAATAAATCAAGTCAAGCTAACTTCAGAACTTGGGTTTGAAAACAGGTTTGTTTCAATTTTTATTTTTACTTGGAAGTATTTGGCTGAAGTATATATATAGTATAGACAAAGTTTGGTAACAAATGAAATACGGAGTAAAAAATTTCTTACCAAAAAACATCAACTTTAGCTTCAGTTTTTAAAAGGCTTGAACCACACATTGATGTGAAAATAATATTTTTTATGGAGTATCAATTAACTTAATTCACATTTCATATAAATACTATTTCACTTTAGATGTAAAGCATTGAATTAATAATTTCAAATAAAGCATTAATTTTGAAATTTATTTTGAAAAGCTTGGGCTGAGACTTTATGGTTTGCGGTTTGAGGATTCCATACTCTTTTCTATTTCAGATTGATTATTGTAATTGATTATTCTATTTTTTTGGAAATGATTGGTGTTCATTTGCAGGCAGAGGTCTTGGTCTAAAAGGTGAAAGAAATTGTGTGAAGAAAATTGAAGCAGGTTCGCTAAAAAGGCGCATTTCCGTTTTTATTTTTACATAAAAGTATTTCATAAGTTCTTGCAATTCATTGACATTTCTTTGCAGATAGAAGTTAATGTCTTAAAGCTGGAAAGAGTTAAGTCAGGCTAACTGAAGAACTTTGCTATGAAAAGAGGTACATTTCTATTTATATGTAGAAAATAGGGACGGTCTTGAAACCAAAAACACTTCATGCCTGAACTATATACTTTTCACTTGATCATAAATCTGAGTTCACTTTAGATGTAAACTATAAAAAATTTAGAATATAACCTCAAAGCAATCTGATAGAACTGACGTTGAATTAAATCTTTCATGTGTTTTGTCTCAGATTAGTCATTGTAAGTTTCTTGTAATTCATTGGACTTTGTTTGCAAGAAGTGATAATGAGAAGGGAAATAAATTAAAGTTGCAGAGATATGTACTAAGGGGACTTTAAAATAAAGTAGAGGCTGCAAAAAAAGGTTTGTTTTAGTTTTCATTTTTACTTTGTATTTCACAAAAGTAAACAAAAAACCTCTAATAATGGTCACACATATTTTCTCGAGGGTATTTAAGAAAGATAGAAAATTTAATTTCAACCGTAAAAAGCCCACATAGATTCATTTAAAGTTACAGAGGTCTCTTTGAAAATAAAGAACTATACTTTCACTTGTAAAAAAATCCTGATTTATTCTTTCTCCCTCGAAAATAATATTTTTTTGTATAGTTAAATTCATAAAAATACCCATTAAACTCCAAGTGTAACTATAGTTAAACAGTGACTCCTTTTCAAGTAAAAGACTCTAATAACATACGAATAGAATAGACTGCAGTAATATATTAAAAATAAACAAAATTGATGCATATGATTCAAGTGCTTAATGAAATTGTTGCCAAACTGGCACAAAACTGAATAGTTGTAAAATACTTGAAGAAAACTACCAATTGAAATCCTCAAAAAACTCAATAGGAAAGAAAAGTTTGCATGAATCCAAGCTGCTCTAATGACACACACCCTTCATTCAATCGGCTCCATTTTCACTTCAACAACCTTTCTCACTTTTGTGCTCGATGTCTGGGTCTCACTACATTCCGCAATATCACCTGACCTCTTTCCTCTTGATGTGCTGGTTGGGGTAGTGGCCTCCACATTCACCAAGCAATTCTAGCACCAATTAAATAAAGACTTAGAAAAATACTAAAATAAATAAATAATGGTAAGTTATTTGGTGCACATTTTTCAACGACACACTCTGTCATACATTAGTAGAGTGGTGCAAGTCTGGGATGCTTATATCGATGTTCGAGCCTACCTCTTCGGCATCCTATGAAATTTTTAATTCCAAACGTAATATGTAATATGTACTCTGTAAGTATGTAATATGTGTTACAGTTTTGTACAAAGTACATTACCTTTTCATTGTCACCAAACTCTTGAGAACCACGAGTAGTGAGTTCTGCATCATCTCCCACAGAATCCTAAATTTCAGGATTTTAAAAAAAACTTCATTTCGCATTTTGGTTTGCACATATAATAATATTTTTTCATACAAATACACTGCTTTGTAATAATAAAGTAATATAAGAATAATCTTACACACCTTCACTGGATTTAGCATTTTAAACTGCTCTATTTTTTCCTCATCCGGAATTTTTCCTTTATATAATAACTTCTCCACCCCTTCCCTATATTGCCATCACTGTTCTCTACCTTGAACAAAAACCTTCTACCAATGAACATATTTAATTCCTCTGCTTCAGAACAGTCAACATTTTTCTGCACAAAGAATGTTTTTTGGAGTTTAGTTTCAGAGGGGATATAAGCTGTTACTGAAATTTTAGAAAAACTAATACATGGGCTTTGCAATCTCAAGTACCTTGCGTATGGTAGTGAGCAAGTCGGTAGCAGATTTTCCTAACATTCTAGTCATCACACAATCAAAAGCATTAAACGTAGTGGATCCACTTTGATCCATAACTTTAAACATCACCTTAAACCTGAATGAAAGCACTAACCTTAAATTACCATTTGTGATAGTAATTAATAAAATATATAGAATGGGTAATACCTGGGAATCGCAGACCTCTCCATGCAACACCTTGGACCCTCACTGTAGAACTTACTGCCTAGAGGGTAACATTTCCTATAACAGGTGGTACATGACTGATAATACCACTCACCATCACCTAAGTCAATAACTGTTGCGAGAACAAATGGGTAACAATTCTGCAAATTAAGTAAACAACATCACAAAAAGTAAGGTTAGCCATTCTCAACTATATATGTTAACTTAAATGTACTATTTTCAACGTTTTCTTATTTTTTTTACCTCTGTAGAATCTATCAAGTCAGAAATGGTCATGTGAGGGTTCTGCATTAGATCTTCCTTGAAAGTGCGTGTACCCTGATCTGGCTACTCACAACTTGACTCACTGAACGACCCTCAGATGCTAGCCTATTGTGCCCAAACCGAGATATTCATAAGTTCATAAATTAAGACAAACAAAATGGCACAACAGTTAAAGTATATGTTATATACTTATATAGATAAGTTAAGTGATTATAAGTTACACAGAAGATAAAAAGTATGTCAAATTTCAATTTTCATAACATCCTGAAAACTAATAGAAGGTCAACCTGTTCCTTTCAGTTTTCGTAAAAGATGTACAGATTTTTTTCTAATTTAACATTCCATGCAGTTTTAAGGTTTTGAAAAATGACTTTCTGGTTTTCCATTATAATGATTTTTGAAAAAATGAAAAAAATGTTTACTCTAAAGTTGTTTACTTATTAGGTTTACATACCTAGGCTATTCTTTATTATCATATAAGTATGTCTTTAAAATACTTTAAGATTGTAATTTACTTCCCTCCCAATAGAAGTACAACCTTAAAGAATTCTCTAAGATTTTAAAAAACTGTTTACACATTAAGTACAATCCAAAAAAAACTATACAGATTTTTTCTACTTTAACATTCCATGCAGTTTTAAGGTTTTGAAAAATGATTTTTCATTTTCCATAATAATGATTTTTGAAAAACTGTAAAAATAGTTTTTCAAAAAGGTGAGAGATTAACTTAAGATCATTGAAGTATAAAAAACAAACTTGTAAAAAGGTTACCTTTCTTTGTACTCTTGAATTTCTGAAAGAGGGGAGTTGATATGTAACTTTGTTCCGTAATATGCATTGGTTAGTCCCAATGTTCCCGTGATTATTACACAATATTTGTATCTTTATAAAATAAATTAATTATAAAAGTATGAAAATTAATTATAAAATTCTACCATTATATATTTTTGTTTGACAGATTTGTACGATTACAAAGCATTCTCCTTGATTGTTGTCCAGGTATTCCTTAATCTCTTCTGCCAACTTTGCCCACAATGAACACTTCAATTTATTGCCTCTACAATAAAAAATTGCAATATTAAAAAAATATGTGTTCCATTATTAGATCAATATTTAATATTGATTAATTATATATTATTAATAAAAACATACTCGAGATCTTCCAAAAGAACCTCAAACAGATTTGTCTTCTTCCCATCAATCTGTACCTCAGTCATATTCTTGTCCTTCTCGACAACTTGTGCAATTACATCTACAAAAAAAGTAAAATTAATTAAATACCATTATTATTAGAGTGTTGTTTAAACATAATGCTAAGGTTAAGAAGATGCAAGGAGATCAATTCAAAAGGTTAAGAAGTTGCAAAAGTTTGCTGAAATTTTGTATAAGTTTGAGACTTACCGAAATATGACCTCTCATATTTTCCATCCAAAATATCACTGAAGCTAACGAAGTTAAAATGATGCTTAGGCACACTGCTCAATATCAGGTTCCCGACCTTAGTTATTTTCAAAAAACTGAGACGATATTTGTGGGTAGTGTGTTTTTTGGACTTCGAGTCGTTCATAGCAACCAATAAATTCTCGAAGTAATAAGCATCCCCCTCTTGTAAAAGTGGTTCGAATTGTGAAAGTAGAGCTTTTTTCACAGTAGCGTGTATCCTGATACTCTACATTAGAGTAACACAATGTTACTTTCAAAAGTGTAGCATAAATTAATGTTGGAATTAAATCACAACTAATAAATTAAATGTAAATTACCTTTTGATCCAGTAGGATCATCTCCAATGAATCAACAATTTCCGGTTTCTTATATGCTGGAACGTGCCACATCCGAATTATACAAACATGAACTCTCCATTCAATAGATCCGGCCTGAATTTCATCTAGATGCACCGTCTTAACCGGCATTTTTAATTGAAGACGAAAAATAATTTAATAACATGAAGTGTGTAAGAGTTTGATGGGGTGAAGTGAATTCTTATGTTGTTGCTTATACATGAATCTGAAAAAAGAATATAATTCTTAGCGCCAGATTCTTGCAGTGAGTTTGAGAGGGATGGTATGTTTATCAATATTGTTAAGTTTTTTAGCTGAAAAAAGAATTGGAGTATTATTGAACCAATAGCTCCTAGATCTTTGCGGTATTATTGAATCAATACCCAACAATTAGTGAAGTGGTTATCGCCATTTAAGTCTCTACAATATTATAAGAGTGAATATTGTAAGGGGTATAACGGTAATAGAAAAAGTGTTGGTGTCTCTTGATGCACAAAGTTATTGTACACCATGTATGGTTTCTTATACTTTTAACTATTAAAGTTTCTGTTTTAACGGCAATAAGTTATTCATTCTTAGTGTATGTGTGACTGATTTCTTCTTCCTTTACTTCCCATTTCAACTTCCTTAGAACTGAGTTATTCTTTAGTATCCATTTCTTTTATTTCCTTCTCGCCAATGCCCTTTAGCATCACCTTCTTTCCCCTAACACCTCTTTCGTTCCCCTTTAGACGGTGATTTAGACCCTCAATGGTTGTAGACCTACCGATTATAACTAATTTGCTTCAGATGCTGAAACGGTTTTCCACTTCTTAATGTGAGTTCTTTTCTCTATTCGAATGATTTACATATCCTCTTAATTTGTTAATTATTGTCTTGAATATGCTTACTTCGATGTAATTGTTTTTTTGTGTTCCCTTCATAAAGTTCATTTTGTAATAACAAACTATGTATTCAAATAATGTAGTGATATCCGATTCTATATGAACCTACATAATTGCTGTTATTATCTGTTGTTACTTCTTTTATTAATAATAAAAAACAATTCTGGGCTCTGAGATCCATCTTTCATTTCCGGTGGACAGGAGAAGCTGTGATAAAATATACGAAGTACACCGTAGTGCGGAGTTTACGGTTAAGCTCACTGAGTTGAGAACTGTGAAAACCGTGGAATGGCGGATTACCACTTTGTATACAAGGATTTGGAGGGATCCTCAACACAATGGGACGATATACAGAGGAAACTTGGAAATCTCCCGCCAAAACAGCCGCCGTTCAAGCCACCAGGTTTCACGCCTGCCGAGGATGATGACTCTAAGACCAAAGACAAGGCCTGGATCGACCAGAAAACAGAGGAAGAGCTTGAAGATCTCGAAGGAGATGATCTCGACGAAGATCGTTTTCTCGAAGAATATAGGTAGAGTGTTGAATCTATGCGCTGAATTTCCGTTGCTGAGAACTGGCTTTAGAAAATTGATTTATGCAAAACTGATTCAGATGGAATTCATTTGAAATTTGATTTTAGTGCAATGTTTAACTAGGCATTATGAATATTTCACCTGATTACTCATATAAAAACCTAATTTGATGTTTTCAATCCCCCCTGAGAGGGTAGGGTTCTCATGATTTTGAGAGATCGCCTGTCAGCTAACTTAATTTTTCTTTAAGCTGCCTGGAAGAAGAGGGATGCTTATATTCTATATGAAAGATTTGTTTTTTCTCTGATTGGGTTATGGTAGAATAAGCAAATGCATGAGTCGTTTCCTTCATTCTTTTCCTTTCTTACAGATCTTTCTTTACATTCATTTCAACTTTATGTATATTTAAACAAATGCATCTCTTTTATTCACTTTCAAAAGATAACTGAACTTGATGCCATAATTTGAATTGAGATAATGGTACTAGTAGGTTATCTTGCAATTTCTTTGTGATAGGAAGAAGCGGTTAACTGAGATAAGAGAAGCAGCTAAGGTAGCAAAGTTTGGTTCAGTTATTCCAATTTCAGGATCTGACTTTGTTCGTGAAGTCTCACAAGCTCCTCAAGACATTTGGGTTGTGGTGATGCTCTATAAAGACGGGTGAGCAGTTTGTAGTTTATACTTTTGTCTTGGACTCTGTATTTACATTAAATCCTTATGGGCTTATGGCTAGAACTCAGACATGAATTTGTGGCTAGAAATTGCATTTTCGTAATATCCTGTATTAAATGGCAGATAAGGTCCATTAATGTACAAAATTTGACAGCCAATGCATTTCAAAGTTAAAGTACTGCCATTTGCTACAAAAAATGATAGAGAAAAGAAACTATTGGACTATATTATAGTCATTCAGCTCTATCCTTTGAGTTATAAGGAAACTAATATCAACGCTCAGAATTTCATTCAACCTGGTTAGCTTTTTATTACAGATACCCAGAGTGCAGGATGCTTTTGCAATGTCTGGAAGATTTGGCTAAAAGGTACCCTGCAACAAAGTTTGTGAAGATTATATCAACAGAGTGCATTCCAAACTATCCAGACCGTAATCTGCCAACTATTCTGGTTTACAAAAATACTGATGTTAAGGCAACTTATGTGGGAACACATAGCTTTGGTCGGAGATGCACTCCTGAAAGTATGTTTTCCTTCTGCGATTTTGGGATGCTAAGTTATCTTTTAATAGTTGTGCCATCATATAGTAAGTAATCCTATTTATGTTTTACATCAGTATCATATCATTATTATTACTATCATTTTTATGATTCTTCTTTTTAGATCAGCAATCTTATTGAAATACTTTTAATTAAAATATCTAATCATCAATGGTTCTTCAATGTAGTTTTGTTGACAAGGGAAACAATAAGGTTCAATCACTAGAATAAATTTTGCAGAACGTGGAATATGATGTCCTGATATTGCTTCTTCTGTGGTAATATTGTAATGTGTTGTTACATGTTTAGGTGTGGCCTTAGTTCTATGCCAGTCAGATCCTGTGCTGAATGATGGGCATGGCGGGGAACAATCAAGAGAAACTGTTCAGGATGGAATCAGGAAGAAGTTTCTTGAGAGGGCCATAAAAGAGCGTGAAGATGATGATGGATCTTTAAGTGATTGATGTTTCCATGGTGGTGATATTTCATTTCCCATCCTCCTCTTTCCCCCCTCATATTTGTACCCAGATGCTAAACTCTCAGCTTGTGTGATCTGGGCGCATGAACAAACACCTCTTCCATGGTTTATTAGAAATTTTTTATATATCTTGTATATGTTCTTTTTTTTGCTTTTTCAAGAAATGTCTGATCACCTGAGCTTGATGTTAGCTGTACATTATACTTCTGAATATTTTTGTGGTTCAGGGCTTTTAATTTTTTAGTGTTACACTGTTACTCCATCGTTTTGTTTTTACTCACTTCTGTTAGTTTTATATACCTAAATTAAGAGTAAAGCTTGTTGGTGATGCTGGATGGTGAGTGATACTTGTTATTCATTTATTCACTCCACCTAAACTGAGAAACTAATGTTCCTACAATAGTCTTGTGCATTATCACGAACGCGCAATGCGCGTTACTAAACTAGTAGTAGTAGTAGTCTGGTCTGGTCTGTTTTAGTTTGATATGTTTTGGTCTGGTCTGGGGTGAATTACAGTCCAACTAAAAACAACCTTAATATATTTATGCTTTTCTTTCAGGTTTCTTTCCTGTGAAATCTTTGTAAAAGTAAAACATGCATGATATGTCCATTTATTTTATGATTCGTTTCTTTGGAAGGTTATAATATGATTATTTACTTTCTTTTATTAGCATCGTTACGTTCATTTTATTCAGGTGTGTCGTTGTATTATTACTTTATTAGTAAGAGTAAAATTTGAAATTACCATGTAACTTTTATTCAAGTGCTGTAACTTTATTTCTTACATTTGCTCATATTTAATTATCAAAATCAATCATGTTCATGTTTCTTAAAGAATGAATTATATTTATGGTAAGATAATAATTAAATGGTACCTAGTAATTTTCAAGACACTTGAAATTCCAATATACTTTTATGTAGTCAACATATACTTTTATGGTAAGCAATCATGGTGAGATTTGAAGCCAAATATACTGAGCAAATGAGCAATATGTAGTCAACGTTTAATTTTATGGCTCAATAATTACATTTGCTACGTAGCCGTTTTCAGGACACTCGATATTCCAACTTTATTTTTTACATTTGCTCATATTTAATTATCAAAAGCAATCATGTTCTTGTTTCCAAAAGATGAATTATATTTATGGTAAGATAATAATTCAATTGTCGTAGTAATTTTCAGGACACTCGAAATTCCAATATACTTTTATGTAGTCAACATATACTTTTATGGTAAGCAATCATGGTGAGATTTGAAGTCAAATATACTGAGCAATATGTAGTCAACGTATAATTTTATGGCTCATTAATTACATTAGCTACGTAGCAGTTTTCAGGACACTCGAAATTCCAACTTTATTTCTTACATTTGCTAATATTTAATTATCAAAAGCAATCATGTACATGTTTCCTAAAGAATGAATTATATTTATGGTAAGATATTAATTCAATTGTCGTAGTAATTTTCAAGACACTCAAAATTCCAATATATTTTTATATAGTCAACATATACTTTTAGGGAAAACTGTCAAATAGGTTCTTCAACTTTCATAAAAAGGTCAATTAAGTCCTTTTATAGGAGGTTTTGTCCGGCCGTCGCGATTTGTGGTAGTTCCCGGTAGAATTTTTCGATGAAAGTTTTTGAGCATCTTATTCACCAAGTCTAGTTTACTCATACCAAATTTTAGCTAAAAATTCAACCGGAAACACATTCAAATTAATTCTTAAACATAACTGCGCATTTTTGCGCTCTCGAATTAATTTGAATGCACTCCCGTTTAAATTTTTAGCTGAAATTTGGTATGAGTAAACTAGACTTGATGAATAAGATGCTCAAAAAATTTCATCAAAAAAATCCACCAGAAACTGCCCCAAATCGCGACGACCAGACAGATTCTTCTATAGAAGGACTTAATTGACTTTTTTATGAAAGTTCGAGGACCTATTTGACAGTTTTCCCTATACTTTTATGGTAAGCAATCATGGTGAGATTTGAAGCCAAATATACTGAGCATTATGTGGTCAACGTATAATTTTATGGCTCATTAATTACATTAGCTACATTGCAGTTTTCAGGACACTCGAAATTCCAATTTTGCCCTTTTTTTGGGCGGGATTTTTCTCTCAAATTATGGTGCAAAAAGTGTTAGTTTATACTTGTATTAGATAAGTACACCACTTCGCGCACCCTTGGATATGCTAGGCGCACCAATTTTTCACGTTAAACTGACAAATTAGCCCCTTAGCGTTAATGCATTCTACACGTACGTGCTCCACCTTCTGTTTTTTTTTTTGAAAGATGCTCTACCTTCTATTATAAAATGTTAAGTAATATGACCAAAGCACATCTTCATTGCCAAACTTTAATCTGATTTTTTGCTTCTAACCTACCTATTTATACTCCGTAAGAAATCTTATCTCATAGGCACAACAAATTAGTATAATATGCATTAAAAATATCTTTAGAATGTTTTTAATTGAACTAAAAAAAATAGTCTGATCTTATCTATTTAAGATCGATTTGATTTTGTTTGATCTGAGATTGATATCAATCCAATTACAAATTAAAATTCTTAAAGTTACATAAATACATTGGTACTGGTATCAAATAAAAAAGAAACTCGTGAGTATATTCTAAATAAAATAATGTGAGTTGATTGACCCGGAATTTCCAAGTCTAGGATTTTTAAATTTGATTTAGTCTATTGAAGTCTAGCCAGATCAGATAAATTTCTAGTGTATGTATATTTTAAAAACATATAAAATTAAAAAACATACAGATTGGAAAAACTATAAAATAATAAAGCAAAAAACTAATTTTATATAATCGAAACACATGCAGAGCATATTTGGTAACTTTGAAATTGACTATATTGGTCAATTCTTCTGAAATTAATGAAATTCCAGCTAAAGTAGTTGAAATAGCCGATGCTGAATTATGAAAAAAATTAAATTATATTTTATTAATAAAATAAAGAAACAAATGTATGAAAATAGCTAAAAATGATTTTATATAGTAACTTCAACCAATTCAGTCCGAACTAGCAATAGTGTACAAAAGAATAAATTGAGGTAAATTAAAATTATTTCCCATTTAAATCTCCTAAATCTTATATCTACTTTCCCCTTCATTACTCTTCTTTTCGGGTAACACTTCTATCTTCTATCCTAGAAAGAACCACATATGGCGGAAATGACATTAAGATTAAATAAACGAGATTTAGTTTTAATTCACTTCGATAAGAAGAGCGGTGAAGTGAAAAGTGAGAGTAGAGATCGATAGTATTAAAAAGGACATTAATTTAAATTCACCCTAATTTATTCTTGTGGACACTACTGATAGTTCGGATTATTTTTATAGACACTTCCAATAGGGATTATTATTGTAGAATCCCTAAAAGTATGGATTATTCTTACGAATTTCACCTTTTTTTAATTTTAGATATACAATATTGATGTGGCAAAAAACATAGTCTCCAAATGGGCTCTGAGGCAATTGTGCTCCACATGTAATAAACAACTAATGCAATTTTTATACTTCTTCCGTCCTAAATTGAGTTACAAAATTGACATTTTTGAGTCACACAGATTCATTATATTCACTTAATTAGAATATCAATTTTTATTTCAATTTTAATTTGAATTTTGCAATTTTGTAGATTTTAATATAGATAGAGAGAAATTAACTTTACTATGGGTTGATAAAAGATCATTTACTTTGCAAAACAATTTGGGACGACAATAGTATCTATTTTTTAATTCAAAATGTATTTATATTTTTAATTATTTAATCTTGATATATCATTGAAAGCACGTATGAAAGGAAATAGGAGTAAATCATAATGTATTTAATAATAACACATAATTTGAAATTTATTTAATATTTTTAAAAGGATTTGAGTTTTTTTATACATTACCCATTTAAAAGGGGGTATACGAAGTATAAGAAGTATACTTGAGCCTGAGGAGCAGTTCGTAGTATACTAAGTATATAATTAAGGATAAATGTGTCCAATGAGGGTTAGATTTAGCACTTTTGGTGGTGCTGGAAGCAACACCCATTAGATAAAGATAAAGACTGGAGCTTTACATTTTTGGGTTACGGGTATATAAAATTATAAAGTGAATCAAAAGGTTTAGCCGCTGAATCAAACAGATTTCAGTAAAGAATGAATTAATAGTTCCATCTTCCTGGTCTTCTAATTTTGATCACAAGCACCTATGTTGATTATGCTGAGCCTAAGCATCTCACAGCCTCACAAGAACACAATGCAATGAGCATATACACATTCAGGTTAGTACGATTAGTATAATATTGCTGCAAAGATCACAACTTTTAGTTAAACAAGCACGTTGAGAATCAATCTCGAACAGAAGCCAATCACTATAATGCCTCAATTCAAGAATTGTGACTCTCGTATAAAATAACAAAATTACTTCGTGACCGGAAAACTTTGTTCAATTATAAATAAATGTGTGAACTCTTGAGTTTACGGTTTGAATTTCCGCAATCGAGTCTCTTCGCTCTTTTGTTTTTGTCCTTCAACTAGGCCGCTGGTGGACTCAAGAAGGGACTTTTAAGTAGAATTTCAGTACTCCGCCATTTGTTTGAGCACTCACTGACCCTAGTTTCTGTTGATTTATTTAAAGGCAGATTTCAAATTCATTTTTTCCTTATTTACTATCTTCTTGAAGTTCTTAGCATGTTTAAAGAAATCTTCTTTATTTAGCATTCCGTAGTTGATTACGTATGTTGTGCTGGCTTGGTTATTATTTGTTTCGGATGTAATCATGAAACTTATCTGCAGCCATCCATGCTTCCACTATACGCAGCAATGTCATTGGCCATATAATTGCAGGGGACTTTTGTCTTGCCTCTAGAATTCACCATCTGCTACTGATAACACTGATTTTTCCCCTCAAAGTTGTCAAGCTCAGTAGCTCACAGGCAATGATGGGACGCTCCCTTCTCTCTCTTCTACTTTTAAAAAGTGATTCATTTCAAAAAAAGTGATTTTTGAAGTGATTTTAGAGAAAAACTTAATAGTAGAAGTTGATACTGTTTGTAAAAAATGATTTTGAAAAAGTAAAAGTTAGTAGTGTTTGGTAAAAAAGAACTTTTTTGTGTAATAAGAAAAGTGAAAAACAGTTTAAAGCATCTTCAAGCTTTTAATTTTAAAGTGCTTAATTTAAGTAGAAGCTGTCACTTAGAAACACCAATTACAGTTTTTTAAGCAAAAACAAGCTGAAAAGCACTTTATGAAAGTTCTTGCAAAAACTCCTCAAGTCACCTTCTCTCCAACAAATCTTCATATT